CTGGCACCCCGAAGGGCACCACGCACTGCAGCCCCTCGCCGCACGGGCCCTCCTGCAGGCCGCACGCGGCGCCCTCCGGCGCGCCGCACACCTCGCAGCAGCCGCACGCGTCCCGGGCCCGGCCGCCCTCGCAGTGCTCCGGCTGCGGCGGGCAGCGAGCCGGCTCGCAGCGCTCGGGGCACCCGGTGGCCAAAGGCGCCGAGCGGCCGGCCCGGGACAGCTGCGCAGAGGCGGGCGCCGCCAGCAGCAGCAGTAGCAGCAGCGGGAGCAGCGCGGCGCGCGGGATCTGCATGGCGACTCTGGCGGCGGCGGCGGCCGTGGCGGCTGACAGGGCGAGGGCCGGAGAGCGGCACCGGGGAAAGTGCGGGAGGGCCTCGGGGGCAGCGGGTGCGAGTGCGCGCGGCCGCGCGGCCCAGCCCATTGGCCTCGCAGCGGTGACGAGCCGCCTTGGGGACGGGCACGGCGCCCGGGAGGGGGGCCGACCGGATGGCGGGAGGGCGGGCGGCTGGACCGGGACCGCCCGCGGCGGGGGCAGGGCGGGCGCGCCCGGGCACGGCGGAGCTCGTGGGGCGCGGGCGGGGCAGTGCACAGACCCGCCCTCTCGCGGGACTCAGTTTCCCCGTCTGCGCGCCCCACATATTCGCCTTCCGCAGGTTCTCTCGCTGCGATTCGCGTCCTTCAAACTAAAGGAACTTTGCAAGGGGGCCCTGCGGCGTCTCCCCGCGGGAGAGCTCGGGAAAGTTCCTGCAAATCGCCCGACTGGGGGCCTGCCCGGGAGGCTCGGACTGGGCCAGGCAGGGACTGCAGGGGCCTCTGCGCAGACCCGGGGCGTTGGCGGCACCGCGGACCTCGGTCACGCGCTGGTTCTGCCCCCGGTACCCCGCATGCGGGACCCTGACCGCGGGGCCTGTGCGGCCGGACGAAGGCAGCGTCCGCGGAGCTGCCAGAAAGCCCGCGCCCGGACCCACAGTGAAGTGATAAAAGCAGAGAGCAGAAGTAATTTGAACAGAATCCTTTACACGTCTGATTCTTTTAAACAGTTGTTGTGGGTGGCACGCGTGTCCGTACTCGCAGAGAGCTCAGGAAGCAGCTGGGAGGCTCGTAACTGGAGAGGGTGCAGCGGTCTCAGATGGGAAAGGGGTTTTCTCCTGTTTGAATTTTTCACCACGTGCGTGATTATTTCAAAACACTTTTGTTATCAAAAATTTGATTTCCCACTGGAGAATCTTTGGTGCAGCCTTTGGGACAGATGCGAGTCTGAGAGTCATCAGGAGGGCCGAGGGCGACCCTGGAGGTGGGTCTGGGTGCCCAGGCAGCACCAGGCCTGTGGGCAGTAGTCCTGGGTCCGCACTGAGCAGATGGGTACAGCTCGCGTCCAAGGACCTGAGAGGAGGCGGTTCGCCCAGCCCTCATCCGGAACCCTCAAACCTCCAACCCTACCCTGGGCAGAGGCACCCACGGTTGGGTGGGCCGGCAGAGCTGACTTTGGGATAGAGTAGCAAGGGAGGGGGCTGGGGGCTTGGAGATTTTAATATTCTTCTGTATTTGGGTTGTTCCCTTGTGCACACGTTACTTTTCCAATACAAATAGTTTAAAAAGTAAACTCCAAATACTTATAAGCCCCCTCAAAGCACCTTCCAAATATGAACCTTGTTAATGTCCAAAGTCCAGAGGGGTCCCTCAGAAAGGCCCAGGAGCCTGGGGCATGGGAAAGCTGTCGGGGTCCCCATGCTGACTCCCTGGACTCCAAACGACATTCCATAAAGCCAGGGCCTCATGGCTGCAGAAGGGAAGCCTTTACCCAGAATCCCTTCAGGCCTGGATCCTGGAGAGGCAGAGGCCTCTGCTGATGAGAAGCCCTGAGTTCTTAGCTAGCTGTGGTTAACCATAAAAAGTGCGGGGTGGGGGTGATGATTTTCAAAGTCCATCAGCAAAGAAAGACTCTCCCCACTGCAGTCCTGGGGCAGACGGAATTAAAAGGACACGTGGTGGTGAATAAATTGGTGACAACTTATTTTTGTCGAATTCCTTTATTTTACAGAGGAGAAAACTGAGGGCCAGAGAGGGTGACTTCCCTGAGTGTCAGCCACAAGTTGAGTGCTGGAGCCAGTACACCTTCCAAACTGGCCGTGCCTGCCTGCAAGCCCCATCCTCCACCATCCCTCTGAGCAGCCAGGCTGCAGACGGAATGAGCCCACCGAACACAGTGTGGCTGCAGCTTCCCCACTGCTTTGCGGGAGGTGGAGGGAGTTTCTAAGCTCTTTCCCTGTCGGGGAATTAAGTAGCTGGGGGTCCCACTGAGTCTCCACAACCCTCTTACCCATTCTCCACCCCTTCCCCACCACACATACACTCTGCTCCCCCAGTGCTGAATAACTTGCATTTTCTGGAACATACCTTTCCACTTACGGTCTCTGTGCCTTTGCCCACATCTCCTCTCTTCCTGAAACACCCTTCCTCCCCTCCAGCATGAACTAATGTGACCTAGAGAAGCACGTAGGAACCCTGTCATCTGGGGGACTTGGGTTCAAATCCCACTTCTGGTCCTTAAGTCTGTGACTCTGGGCCTTTAATAACTGGAGGAGTTTCATTAGGAAAATGGCAGTGACTGCATCCCTCCCTGGAGTGACTGATGTGCCACCCACAAGCTTCTATTTGGTCAGTGCTGGGTCCCGTCGCCCCATCTAGCATGCTCCTCTTCCATCCTCATGCCCCCACTCAGTGCCATTTCCTCTGCCTCCCACCCTCTGTGCTGCTGTTCCTCCCCTCATCACCTCCTCCCCAGGGCAGAGGCCCCATCTTCTTCACCCCTGAATGCCCCAGTGCCAGCACCGTGCTTTGGCAAGTTATTCAGCACTGGGGGAGTAGAGTGTATGTGTGGTGGGGGAGGGGATGGAGAATGGGCAAGAGGGTGATGGAGATTCGGGGGGACCCCCAGCTACTTAAAATCCCTGAGGAAGTGTTGGCTGAACTGGACCCACTCCTTGATGGTTCACAGCCTAGAAGAGGCATTTGTAACCGCAGTAACCAGTAAGTGCAAGCCATGGGGCTTGCACGTGGCTGTTCTAGGGAAGGAAGACAGCACCACCCTGAGAGCCATGCTGGTGGCTTCACCAGGAAGGGAGTCAGTGGGGGGAGGACTGGGGGACCAAGCGGTCCCTAAGAAGCAGAATTTGCAATACCCAAGGTTTTAGAAAGAGCAACCTGGCAGGACCACTGCACAATGAGATCACAGGATCATCTCCCAGCTGTTCGTGCAGCTCACTCCACCTGCCCTGACCCAAGCACGGGTCGTGAAGAAGACAAGCAGCTCTACAGAGGGGCCTCAAGAAATCCTTTGAAACAGAGAAATCAAAGTCTTCCTGGAAGGGTTGTGGGCACCCTGGACCGTCCACATGGGAGGCTGTTGGTGTGTGTGCCTACGTGTGTCCATCGGTGGGCACACAAAGAAGGAAATGGTAAACCCATTGAAACCCGGTCTCGTGGACCCATCACTGACCTTCCCTTAGTCCTAACATCCCCATATCTGGAGGTAATGCTTTCAACCTGCAAGCATTGCTCTTTCTGTCTTTTAGATTCTTCCCCGCCTGCTGCCATTTATAAAGACATTTTCTTAAAAGAAGCACTTTTCTTTTGATACATCATGAAAACTCATTTCTCACTCACCAAGCCTTGGCACAGTATTCTAGAGAGGATTTTTCCAGAGAAAAGGGGGCAGTTTTGAAGCCAAACAGGCGAGTTCCCCAACATCCTCTCTGCAGCCCTCATTTGCAGCATTGAAGCTTCAGTTTTGAACAGGGCCAAGTCTATTCATGAATAATGAACAATGAAACACCACAGCTGCCAGAGCCTTAATCAGGAAATGAGGCTTCTGAATAGGAATGGAGCAGCCATGTCTGTGCTGCCCCAGAGGAGGATGATTTCCCACTTTGGGCCTCTGTTCTCCCAAATGTACAAAGGACCCAGAATGCTCAGGGGCTCATATTGCCTTTCCTAAGTCACAAGATCTAAGATCTAAGGAGCTGTATTAAAAATTTTGGCTCCTCCTATAAGCTTATCCTATCACTCTACTGCTCATTAATTTCCAGGAGCTCTCCATGCCAGCAGAATGAAGTCCAAGTTTCTTACCCTGACTTCCAATGTCCCCCATGCCCCTCACGCCAGGTTGTCCTCTAGATCCAGGGTGATACAATCCATTCCTACTCATCCATTCTCCCGTAGCAACAGAACCCTGGCTGGGGCCATGCCAGCAAGTAAAGGATGACTTCTCAACTGGTTTTGCCCCCTTTCCTCCGAGTGCCAGGCCCACTCCCATCCCCTCTGGTCACCCCAGCATCAGAAATCATAATCTCCTTTAACAGAAGGTACACCCTGATGACAAACCCACATCAGTTCAGTTAGGTTCGGTTCAGGAAAAATTTCCTGAGCCCCTGCTACAGGGCAGACACTGCTAGACACTGTAAAGCAGTGTCGAACGATCAAGCCCCTGTCCTCAAGAATTTCAAAGTCTAGAATTTTCTGCAATGATGGAAATAATCTCTATCTGTGCTGTCCAAGAGGGTAGCCACTAACTACATGTGACTGCCGAGCATTTGAAATGCACCAAGTACAAGGATGATCTGAATTTTTATTTAATTTTAATTAATGCCTATCACAGGAGAGAGAGGAGGGTAAGAAAACAAAGGCAGGATGACAGGAGGGAATGCAGTGACAGAGAGGAATCCAGATGTTAGGAGGAGATTGGGCTGCATCTCAAGGGTTGAGAAAGATTTTACCAGCTGCACAGAGCAGAAGATGCATCCAGTTGGTGATGACGCGATGAGTCTGTGCAGGTGGGGAAATTCCAAGTTGTGCAGTGTGGCCGCAGGCGGGAAGAGAGTCCTTTGGACAGTCCAGGCAGCTGGAGGGAAGGGGACCGGTCTATGTTGTGAGGGACTCCCTCTGTCCTCCTAAGGATTTTTGGCTTCACATTGATGCTGATGAGACACTCCAGTTGGCTTTTAAGGAGATATGTTTTGGCAGAATCGCCTTGCGGCAGTGTGGATGATAGATTGAAAAAAAAATAGATTTAATAATATGCATTTTAAAATATGGACACATGACTATATTTTAGGTTGAGGAGCACTTTAAATTAAATTGAAGATGCAGTTAATGTAACTCAATCGGGTAAAAAGTAAAGACATTCCATTCGTTTTGTAACAATTAAATTATTTCTGTATGATCTCTTTAATAGTAGACCCCTCCTTCAAAAATAGGACAAAGGTGAGGAAGTTCAAAATATTTTTGAGAACTTTTTTTTTTTTTTTTTTGAGACAGAGTCTCACTCTGTTGCCCAGGTTGGAGTGCAGTGGTGCGATCTCGGCTCACTGCAACCTCCACCTCCAAGGTTCTAGCGATTCTCCTGCCTCAGCCTCCCAAGTAGCTGGAATTACAGGCACCTGCTACCATGCCTGGCTAATTTCTGTATTTTTAGTAGAGATGGGGTTTCACCACGTTGGCCAGGCTGGTCTCCAACCCCCGACCGCAAGTGATTTGCCTACCTTGGCCTCCCAAAGTGCTGGTATACAGCCGTGAGCCACCATGCCTGGCCTATTTTTGAGAATTTCTGAAGCACTTTAGAATTACAGTACCAGCATTTCTTTTTTTCTTTTTACTTGTTTTTTAGATAGGGCAGCCTCTCGAGCCAGAGTAGGCTCAGAGGCTCCAGTACTAGCATTTCTAATATCAAATCAAAACATTCATGTCTATTTGTTAAATAAGGATACTTAAAAGCCAACCCCAGGCCTGCTGCTGCTCAGTTTCCTTTTAAGCCTTTAAATTCTACATATTTGTTAAGATCTATAATTCAGATCTTTTATTAATTTAGGCAAACCCTTCCCCTAAATCAGTTGCATGAGACCAGCAGTCCATCTTTGCATTAATTGGCTCCTTCCAACATATTTGCTTTAGAAAATTAAAAGCATGGCATGTGATCAAATTTTTCACTCTCCATGGCAAAGTATCAGACAGATACAATTCAAACAGAGCCCCAGGCAGCTACCAAAAGGTCTTGAATGACAGCTTGTCAATTTTCTGTTATTCAGGAGCAGCTTGAAAAGCTGAGCGCCCTCACATTTAGAACTTGCTGTCATCTAGGCAAAATGGTTTAACATTGAATCAAGGACATTATAAGCCAGAATTTTAAATCTGCTTATAAAAAAAAAATTAAGAGACAGAAGGGGCTCAACCTTTGAGTTCTTTCATTTGTCTAATTATATAGTACTACAGCAAGCACAAAGCACCACAGTTCTGTAAGCATTAGAAAGCATTTACTAAGCTTATTTGGCAACATGGTCTCTAAGGTGCTTGATGTCCAAGTTTTAAACCAACGTGACCTAGAAGGCCCAGATTCTTTCTCTACAAACTTGCATGGTGGTTTTCTTACTCATACAGCCAAGGCATTTTTTTAATCCAGAAATGAGCAGGAAAAATGAGCGTTGGAAAGTAGTGAGAATATTGAAAGAATGGTACAGCTTTCTAAATGACTCCTATAACAACCCAGACAAGAAGCAGGCTGAGGTTTCCACTTCCTTCAGTAAACTCTAAAGCCAGTTCACCTACTCGAGGGGCCACTCGGATGGCCTTCTATGGGCTTTGGGTTTCTGCTCACCCCATCACTTTCTCAGACCCACTGTGTCTTCTTGTTCCCTTTTTCTGGCTTGTAGCAGGTGCATTGGAAATATTTACTGATATTCCCAACTCTCCAGCTATTCAACCAGAGGAGGGTTGAATTGACCCTGGGCCCTGCCTCCGCCTCCCTGTGGCCAGTGGTGCTCAAACCTGAGCATGCATCAGAAGCACCTGAAGCCTGGTTAAAATGCAAGCTGCAGGGCACCACTCCAGAATTTCTGATTTAATAGATCTGGGGTAAGGCCTGATCATCTGCATTTCTTACCAGTGTGAGGTGGTGCTAAGGCTGCTGGTCTGAGTACAGAGGAGGTTCCAGCAAGAGAGAAGAAGGCTGGTAAGTAGAGCTCAGGGTGGATTTTAGCAGCTGGGATCTTGGAGTGTGATAAAGACAGTTTGCTCCTCTGCCTGTCACTGGCTCCTTCTCCACCAACTCCAGTGTCCAGCAGACTCTCGTGGGTGGAAATGAAGGACACAGGAACCACCGAGGAGGACAGACTTGCCATCTCAGGCCCTCCTTTCCCCTCCGCCTCAGTTACCGTCGGTCCTGGGTGTAGGTGCAGCACGTAGAGTACAGAGACATGACGTGGTGACAAAGGTGCTATCCCCTTGCCAAGCCAGCTGCCATCTCACTCAGCCAGGAGCACTGTCTTTTCCCGTCACACAAAAATGCCCCCAGGAGTCAGGCGCCCTGATAACTCCACCTTAAATTGTTGGGTGGTCTCAGGGAGGGTCCACCCCTCAGTCCTGCTCTGCCAGAGGAGGCAGCAGAGGTCCCTAGTATCCATTGAAATCATCTGTGAAGCTTTTTAAAAAATACTGAGACCCAGGGATTTGGAGAAAAAAAAAAACTTGATTGTAGATCATAGTATTGAATCAATGTTGATTTTCCAATTTTGATCGTGTTACTGTGGTATGAGAACATTTCTTCTTCTTTTCAAGAAAACACACTGAACAATATCCTTACGCACAGCTAAACGGCACGGGTGCACGACCTGTCACAGCTGCACTTACAAATGTTTTAATTTCTTTCCACCTGCTTTAAATGTTTCCAGGAACTCGACATGCATGTACGCAAGGCGTGGCCTCACACAACGACATTCCGCGACATCTGGTTCTACCCGCGGGTAACGCCATGAGAGCGGCGTTCCTCTCTTCTGGCGGGGGGTTGTCTTCTCTAGTTTTTTGTTTTTTTTTTTACTGTTTTTCAACTTTTTCTCTAAACCTAAATTGTTTCAAAACTAAACAAAACTTTTTTTTTTTTTTTTTTTTGACGCATGGTATCCCATTTTGTTGTGCCAGGCTTGGATGCAGTGGTGACCGACCGCATAGCTCACTTGTGGCCTCAACTCCCCAGCCAGGTGATCCTTCCCACCCTAGCCACGCGCGGGAATAGCGCTGCGGTACACAGTACAGATGTGCCACACTCACAACCCAGCCTATTCTTCTTACTACTTTTTCATAGAGACACCAGGTCTTGCCTGTTACCAGGCTGGTATTGAACTCCTGGAGCTCAAGCAACTCTGCCCTGCAAAAGGTGCGCTAGGGTTCTACAGCATAAGCACACCACACCCCGGCGCTGCCCCCACCTTTTTTTTTTTCTCGCAGACAGCGGTCCTCACTTTTGTCCCCCAGCTGGACGTTCCAGTGGCATGATCAATGGTCCACTGCAGGCCTCCAACCCTGGGCTCAGGTGGACTCCTCCCACCTCAGCCCTTCCAAGGAGCTGCGGACCACAGGGTGCGTGCAGCCCACACCTGCCCTAATTTCCTTTTTTTTTTTTTCTTTTTAGAGATGTGGTCTTGCTATGTTGCCCAGGCAGGTCTTGAAGTCCTGGGCTCAAGTGATCCTCCTGCCTCAGCCTCCCAAAGTGTGGGATTACAGGTGTGAACCACTACTCCCAGCCAAACACTTTTTTAAAGGAAAAAAATAAGCCAGGCGCTGTGGCTCACGCCTGTAATCCCACCACTTTGGGAAGTCGAGGTGGGCGGATCACGAGTTCAGGAGATTGAGACCATCATGGCTAACATGGTGAAATCCTGGCTCTACTAAAAATACAAAAATTAGCTGCACATGGTAGTGCTGGCCTGTAATCCTAGCTACTCAGGAGGCTGAGGCAGGAGAATAGCTTGAACCAGGGAGTCAGAGGTTGCAGTGAGCCGAGATTGTGCCACTGCACTCCATCCAGCCTGGTGACCGAGAAAAACTCTGTCTCAAAAAAATAAAAAATAAAAGGAAAAAAAACTACTCCAGATCAACTGAATTAAAAACTCTAAGAGCACAAATAAGCACATAAGAAGATGCTGAGCATCTTTAGTCATCAGCAAATCAACAAATCAAAACCACACTGAGATACTACTTCATAAGCACTAGGGTAGCCAGAATCAAAAAGTCAGATGATAACAAGTATCGGCAAGGATGTGGAGAAATCAGAATCCTCATGCACTGCTAGTGGGAATGTAAAATGGTACAGCTGCTTTGGAAAACAGTCTGGCAGTTCTTCCAACAGAGTCAACGTATGACCCAGCATTTCCATTCCTAGGTAGCTACCCAAGAGAAAGGAAAACATGTGTCCACACAGAAACTGGAACACACATGTTCATAGCAGCACTATTCATAACAGCCCAAAGGTAGAAACAACCCAAATGTCCATCAACTGATAACAGATAAACAAATTATGGCATATCCATAAAATGAAATACTATTCAGCCATAAAAAAGAATAAAATACCCACTACAACATGGTGAACCCTGAAAGCATGGTGCTAAATGAAAGGAGCCAGAAACAAAAGACAACATATTTTATGATTTCATTCATAAGAAATGTGTATTAACAGGAAAATCTACAGAGACAGAAAATAGATTCCTGCTTGCTTAGGGCTAGAAGAGTGGGCAGAGGCTGGGCACAGTGGCTCATGCCTATAATCCCAGCACTTTGGGAGGATGAAGCAGGAGGATTGCTTGAGGCCAGGACTTTGAAACCAGCCTAGGCAACATAACGAAAACCCACCCCTACAAATAATAATAATAATAATAAGAGTTTTTTTTTTTTAGTTTAGTGACTGTGCACACTTGTTTTCCCAGCTACTCAGGGGGCTAAGGTGGGAGGATTGCTTGATCCCAGGAGTTTAAGGCTGAAGTAAGCCATGATCCTGCCACTGCACCAGACTGGGTGACAAAGCAAGACTCAGTCTCTTAAAAATTTTTAAAATAGTTGGTCAGGTGCGGTGGCTCACACCTATAATCCCAGCACTTTGGGAGGCCGAGGCGGGCAGATCACTTGAGGTCAGGAGTTCCAGATCAGCCTAGCCAACATGGTGAAACCCTGTCTCTACTAAAAACACAAAAATTAACAGGGTGTGGTGGTGTGTGCCTGTAATGCCAGCTACACAGGAGGCTGAGGCAGGAGAATCACTTAAACCCAGGAGGCGGAGGTTGCAGTGAATCAAGACTGAGCCACTGAACTCCAGCCTGGGTGACAGAGCCAGACTCCATCTCAAAAAAAAAAAAAAAAAAGGAAAGAAAAAATAAATTTAATAGAAAATAAAAAGAATAGCTAAAAAGTATGGGGTTTCTTTTTGAGATAAGGAAAATGTTTTAAAATTGACTGTGTTGGCTGGACTTGGTGGCTCAGGCCTGTAATCCCAGCACTTTGGGAGGCCAAACCAGGCAGATCACTTGAGGAGTTTGAGACCAGCCTGGCCAGCATGGTGACACTCCATCTCTACCAAAAATACACAAAGTAGCCGGGCGTCATGGCACACACCTGTAATCCAAGCTACTCGAGAGGCTGAGGCAGGAGAATCGTTTGAACCAGGGAGGCAGAGGTTACAGTGAACCAAAATCATGCCATTGCACTCCAGCCTGGGTGACTCCATCTCAAAAAAAAAAAAAAATTTGACTGTGTTGATGGTTGTCCTTATCCATGAATATACTAAAAACCACTGAAATGTATACTTTAAATGGGTAGATTGTATTTTATTTGAATTGTATCGCAATAAAGCTATTTTTAAAAACTCAGGGGGAGAGGGCAGGGACTGAGCATCCTTAGTGTCTCTAATTTGAAGAACTCCCAGGGATTCCAGTGAGCAGCAGGGCTGAGAACCACACACAGGTCATTTCTGTGTACTGACACTATGTGGATCCACGTTTAAGTCACCCAGTTAGTCTAGAGCCAGAGCAATGTCCTTAGAGATGTGAAATTCAGCAGCATCAGGTATTTTATTTGTCTAACTCATAACCCTTATTTAATCAGCCAATCCGTGTCCAGGTGAACCACCACATTGTCTTCCTCAGTCAGGCTTGGAGTTGCCTAGCGCTGGAGCCTGCCTGGCCCGCTGTGCCCAGACAGCACTCGCCACGTAGCAGGCACTAGTCTCATGTTGCTTGTATTAAACAGATGCTTGCAGCAGAAGGTATAGCGGTGAGGTAATGCATTTTTATCTTAACTTTCATTTACTTTCTTCCCTGGAAATTGATTCCATTCTTGATGTGACTTTCAGCTGTCAGCTGTCTGCACTCCCAGACGGGGTGATGGCCTGGCACCAACGGAGCATTACCCTGATGAATCATGGTCGAGGTACTTTTCCACTGGGCCAGCCGCCACAGCCCCTTCTCCATCCTTCGGAGAGCTCTGTCACCTCGCCTTATAGACACTTGTGTGTCTCCCACTGGCCTCCACTTCTTGCGGGCAGTTTCTGGATGCCCAGGCCTAATCCAGTGCTGCCACTCAGTTAATTCTGTCTTCCTTTAAAGGGAACAATTACCTCCTTGAGGAATGAGGCCTGAAAGCTAAGTCTCTGCTATTACATCCGCCTTCTTCTCACGAAGACCTGCAGCTTGAAAGGAGGGGAGGGAGAACTAGCCCTAAGCTTCAGGAAGACCAAGCCCAGCCGCTGTGATGATTCCAAGGAAATTCAGGAAATCCTTGCTAATGGCCAAACTTCCCGGGTTTGAGATGCAAAAGGAAATCGGATCCCAGGGTAATGCTTTTACACTAAGCAAGAAATTGCAGGATATAAAGCTGTGCAGACCGTTGCTCCTGGTTAAGAAAGTGATTCTGAGACTCCAGCCTGGAAGGAACTGGGCCCCAGTGTTAACTGTGGTTAATTCTGGGTGGAGGGTTGATGGGTGATAATTTCTCCTTTTTCTTTTCTGTACTAACCATTAATATTGCGGAGGGATGGGCAGTTAAAAATCAAAGGAAGAAAACAAAGAAAGCCAAATCCTTTTCCATCTGTGCCGTTCAAGCTACTACCTGGACATACTCTCCTTGAATCTGGGACTCCTCTCTCAGCTCCACCTCACATGGCCCAGCTCCTTCCTGGGGTCACTCCGTGTTCCTCAAGTACTTCAAACTCATCCTCTCCTGCCTCTGAGCTCAGTGTATGGGCCTCTCTCCTTCCTTTATAAGCTCCATCCATGACTGCCTTCTGTGGGTCAGCCACATAGCTGAGCGAGGACCACATGCTGCACACCGAAGGATACAAGAAGCTTGTTCCAAATCTATATGGGTTTTTTTGATATTTTAAGAAAGCAGATGCTTTCCCACGCTGTCTAATTCCCTGTTACATGTATACATCTCTTTTAAAAGATCCTGCAAGTCCTTTTAGTGTCTGGACACAGCTTATTCCCTCCCTTTCTTTTTTCCCAATCTCACCTGCCCCAGTCCTCCTGGTCGGTGCTTCTGTTTCCTGCACAAGGACACAGTCTTGCAAACATGGTGATCCCTGAAACCATGTTGGAAATGAAAGAAGCCAGGTACAAAAGACAACATACTGTATGATTTCATTCACAAGAAATCTGTGTAACAGGAAAATCTAGAGAGACAGAAAATAAATCTGTAGTTGTTTAGGGCTGGGAGAGTGGAGTGAGGCCTCTCTAGAGAGATGGCAATGCCCAGGATTCCTCTGAAGACATTGTTTAGATATCACAGCATGGTCAGACAATAGTGAGGACAGTCTGGCACTGGTGTACAGATGAACAAATAGATTCATACAGTAAAAGAAGCCAAACCAGATTCCAGCCTACCTCCAGTCACCTGATTTAACAAAGTCAAAGTCACAAATCAATAGGGAGAGGATGGTCTTTTCAGTAAATGATACTGTATCAATTGACTCATCATATAGAGAACAAAATGAACTTTGGTCCCATACACGCACAAGTCATAAAAGTTCATTCAAAGTGGATCATAGACCTACATTTGAAAACAAAATCAATGCAGGGTCCAGGAGAAAGGGTCCAGGCGGGAGAATATTTTTATGACCTTGGGCTAAGCAAGAGATTCATGAACAGGACACAAAACCACCAACCACCAAAAAAAAAAAAAAAAGGAATGAGAAATATGACAATTAAAATGAAGAATTTATGTTTATCAAAGACAAAAAGGGGAACTATCGACTGGGAGAACATAGTTACAATACTTGTATCCAACCAAGAATTTATATTCAGGTTAGAAGACTCAAAAACAAAAAGGTAAGCAATCCACTAAGAATGAATTCTGGGCAGAAGACTTCACGGAAGATCTACAAATGACCAATGACATTAGGTAAACATGGACTAAAACAACAAGGAGACACACCCATAAGATCCGTGACAATTTTGAAAATGAAACCCTGAAGCAGGCAGAATTCTAAGATCGCGTCCCAGATTCCCACTCTTGGTGTCCGTGCCCTGCACAGTCCACTTGAGTAGGGGCAAGACCTGTGGATATGATGGATGTCTCTTCTGTGACCAGGTTACATCATATGCCAAAGATGGAGGGATTTTGTGATTAAGTCTCTAATCAGTTTACCTTCAAGTTCATCCAAAGCAAGAGTAGCCTAGGTTGGCCTGGCCTACTCAGGTGAGCCCTTTAAAAGAGAGCTCAAGCCTGCCCTGAGCTTGGAGAGATTTTCCTGCTAGCCTTGAAGAAACAAGCAGCTGTGAATTTTGCAGCTTCACAGAAATGAATTTGGCCAACAATTGTGTGAGCTCCATTAGAAATAAACCCTAAGTTCCCTCAACCTCTCCCACCCCCCACAGCACCTATTTACTGGTTATCTGCACGTGATAGCAGGGCAGGAACTAGACTCTCAGCCCCCTGAGGACAGACCTTGTCTGTCAGTGCATTTCACTGTCTGTCCCAGCACGTTGCACAAAGCCTGGCATATATCAAGAACATGGCACATTTTTATTGAGACGGACTCCTTAAAGCTGGAATCTAAAACCAATGGCCCCTAAATTCAGCAAAAAAGGTTAATGTGACACCTCTGCTTTTATTACCCATTTCCACAGATGGAAGGATTGGTTGTCTGTGGCTATCTCAAGTGAAATGCAGAATTAGTGAATAAAATTTTCATCTGAATTTAAAGAAAATCTTAATAAGATTTTCTTATTGCAATTTTGTTGGTACCACTATGGAGTAGATTACACTATTCAAATAATCACTGCCCTCCCTATAGAAGAATTATATTAGGTTAAACCAAATACAATTGAGATATTCAATCACTTTTGACTTCATAAAATGCCAATCTCATATGGTTCAACCTAATTCTTCCCTGCCCCTTTGATGTCCAACTTGATCATGCTATTTTCTCTGGCCAATAAAATGTGATCTTTAGTGGCACGTGTTACTTCTTAATAAAGTTTTAGTGATTGCATGTTGGCCAGCATGCCTTTTCTCTCTGCCATGACCACCAGAAATTTTCCAGATAGAGGCTTTTCAACTTGCTTGGGTCTCAGAGTGAAATAACAGAGAGCGGAGCCATAGCCAATCCACCTGGACATACAGCACAACTGAGCAATAAACCTGTGTGGATATAAGCCTCTGAGATTTTCATTACTGTGGCATAACCCAGCATATTCTATCAATACATTCTCTTTTACTTTGCCTTGCAATAGAGGTACATTGTTTGTGTCTGCCTCACTTATATCCCAGAGTCCAGCAGAATCTCTTGTCCATAAGAAGCCCTTGAAAAATATTGATTGAATTTAATTAAGCACAGTGCTTTTTTTCTTCTGGGAAAAGAACTGGCTGAACACAACCAAAGACATTTTGTGGCATTTATTAATGCCTGTTCTACTTTTAAGCCAAAGGACAAGAACCACCCGTGAGCCAAGCTGTATTATGTCAGCAAAACTCCCAGAACAATTAAGCCTCCTTTAAAACTGGCATGGGGCTGTTTCCAGAATCAGCATGAAATCCAGTACTCAGCATGCCTGTGCTAGCTCCTCCTCTGGGGGCCCTCCTGTCACTCTGAGCAAGGCAGTAGGAAGTGGGAGGTGGAAGTTAGGACCAGATCATGTTAGGCCTTCATAGACCAGGAGACATAAAGCAATGATAACCTATCAGTGAAAACTCTCAGAGGTTTTCACACAGGGGAATGACCACCTGAAATTTTAAATGTTGTGATGGCTTACTGGCTAGAGAATAGATTAGAGAGAGACAGGAGTAGAAACAGGGATGGAATAGAAATTTTCTCAGAAATCATAAATTACCAATCTGACAAAAGAAAAAATCTTAAGTAAACCAGCATCTATGGTGAAAAAGAAATATTTGTAAAAACAAACAAACAAAAATCACTTCTGGAAAAATTCTTGAGGCTAAATGGTTTCATGGTTGAATTCTCTGAAACTTCACATAAACAGATTTTACATTCTTTCAACTGATATTGACCAGGGGGAAAAATGAAAAACTTCCCAATTCATTTTGTAAAGCAAGCACATCCCAATACTAACATTTATCAAAAATTGGGAAGAAGAAGCTAAAAGAATCATTTATTGCAGATGATATCATTGTATTACTGAAAACACAAGAGAATCAACTAAAAAAAACACTAATAATTCAATATGGTGACTAGTATAAAAAATTAATTTATACAAGCATTAGTTTCCCTATAGACCAGCAATAAACAGATAAAAAGTAATAGGAAAAAATTTTATAGAACCAAAAATATAGCTAGAAAAATTAAATGAAAATATAAATAAATATTAACATTTAAAAAAAATAAATGTAACTACCTAGGAATTTACTTAACAAGACAAATACAGGAGTTACATGAATACAATGACTGAAGGATTTAAATAAAGACTTGGCTAAATGGAATGACATACCATAATATTCCTAGATGGGAAAAACATTATGTAACTGGAATTTTCCAACTCCTTCATCTGTAGATACAGAAATCTCACCAGCTCACAGGCCCCTCCTACATGACAGCAGGACCTTGGCGTACCTTATAGTTTCCGGGGTTATTTCTGACAGTCCCCAGAGTATTCCACATCACACAAGCACAGGAATCCTCTGCCCTTCCTTTGCAGTGGTTCAAGTCAGCTGTTGGCAAACTCTCTAGGGGCAAGCTCACCATGCCCCCAGTGCCAGTGGTTCATGGGAGAGGGTACGGCCTCCTCCCCAGGGTACTGCTGGACTCCCTCCTCCCATGTCCCCAATTCAGAAAACACTTGAAGTGGTGGTGTGCTGGCAAATATTTAACAACCAGTTCTCTAGGAAAAAAAAAAGAAAAAGTTTATTATACATTTTACTGTTATAAGGGAGATGTAGCATATGATTCACAAATAATAATAGTCTCTAACGCCAGTGTGTGCCATGATTGTCTACAGCCTGCCATAGAAAAATGGTTTTTACATTTTTGAATGATTGAAAAAAAATCAAAAGAATAGTATTGCATGACACATGAAAATTATATGAAATTTAAATTTCAGTATCCACAAATAAAGTTAGTACGAAAACCCAGGCTCACTCATGCATTTAGGTATTTTCTATGCTTTTGCTCTGTAAGAGCAGAATTAGTCATTGTGACAGACACTGTGTGGCCTATAAAGCCTAAAACACTATCTGGCCCTTTACATAAAAATTTGCCAGCCCCTCCTCTAGACAATCAGGAAAACAATCAATCAAGTCCTAATTTGTAGCATTTGCCAATTTCCATGGTGTAAATACTCCCACTGTGCCAGTGTCAAGCTTGCCATCACTGAATGTGGAATTAGGAAGCATGCACAGTAGCATATCATTACATAGTATTTCCACCATACAGACAACAACGGACGTAAATAAGCATAGATTGTAGTAAGGTATAGTAAAATGACTAACAAATGATGAATTTTGAATATTCATTACCTTTGTTCCTCACATAACTCATTTAATTGTATAAGTTTAATTTGTAATAATGGTTCTGTTTAACAACCAGCTTGGAAAATTCTTGAAAATTTAGCATTTGGGTCTCAGGAGCCAGCCCCTGCACACCACTGATTTGGAGTGACCAATGGCATGTCAGGGGTGGCAGCCCTTCTGGCTTTTGTCTGTACCAGGTGCCACAGAAATGGGGACGGTGCTCTTCTCTGTGCCCCATTCTGCCACCGTTGTCCTGAAGAACAGCACTTCTTGTCTTTCCTATCTTCAAAATGCAGATTTTATTCACGGCCTTCTCTATCTTCAGAGCACCAATCCAGCCTTCCCCTCCTTCCATGTACACAGGTTCCTCAAGGCAAATCTCCTTCCTCTAAAGACAAACAGTTACCTGGGAGATCCCTAGGTGGGAGAATCCTCTGTCCACAGAGTCACCAAACCCATCTTGTGCCATGGTCTGACTGTTGGTGTCCTCCCAAAATGCATATGGAACCTGATGCCCAATGTGATAGCGTTTGGGAAGAGGGGCACCTTTTGGGGAGTTATTGCCATGAGGGCTCTACCTTCATGAATGTGATTACTGCCCTTATAAAAGAGGCTCAAGCGAGCTCCT